AGGTGAAGCATATCAATGTCGCAAATTGACAGACCTTTTTGGCAGCAGCGCTGCTACAAGCACTATCAGCAGCAGCTTAGAACAAGTGCAAGATGATGAAGAGAATGATAAGGGCGTGAGTTCAGATATACAGCCAGCCTCCTGCGTTCATGATGAGGGACAGAGTTGAGCTGCTGGAAGAACCAGCTCAACTGGCACACGTGCAGGGCAAGAGCAAGAGGTGGGTGAGAATTATCCCTTGAACTCAGTGGCGTTTTCTCCTGGAGGCCAAGGGAAGCCAGGCTTCCCCTGTTTTTATGGATTGTAGTTATAATTTTAATAAATAAATAAAAACACTTTGTTTAGTTTCGGTAATTATTCTGCCGGCCCGTCTCTTCCCCATTCTCTGAGTATTTTACAAAGAGTGAAACAGCGCCCCTCTAGATGTTATGATGAAACAGTAGATTGCACTCTGTTGCGAGAGGAGGCCAGCCGAAATTGGCTTCCCTTGGTGAAAATAAATTGAGGGATTGACCAATCAGATGAGGCTAACATCATGCCTGACAATCCAATCAAATCGCATCAACTTCAGTTCGTACCGTAACTGTCATCACAAAAAGTAGCAAGCAACTGAAGCAATTGCAATTATGGAGGGTAGAGATTTGGAGTATTTCATCAAACATAATTGTACTAAACTTCCGCTACACAGCAGCAACTAAAAATGAAATCTGATGACAGGCCAATGCCCAAAATGGAGCTGTGTACAGAGAGGGAAAAAGGAGCGAATCGGACATAAAACTTTAAATAATAAACAGCGGATTTCTAACATTTGACATTTCATGTGGCCGGACTGGGTCAGTTTCCAGGGCTGAATTTTAGTCCCAGTCCGCCCCTGCCGAGACACATCTCTCTTCAGGGGCCTCATGTATAACGCCGTGCGTAGGATTCACGTGGGAAGGTTGCTTACGTAGTAGAAATCCGAAAAATAGGTCCATCAATTTTCCGCCACTTCCCAATTCACCAAACATTGCGCACCGGCGAGGAAAGTGCGGACAGCACTTCCTACGCCGGTTTCCCTTTATAAATCACAACCGACTCGAAATGCGGTGCAGCTTTTGCGGGGTTCACGTAACGCCCATATTTGCCTATAAATAGTCAAAGAAACGCCCCGTATTAATATTCATTCTGACTGACTTTATGAAGAAGATCGCAGGAAATGACGACAGAACATATAAAAAAGACATCTCACACCGTGTCAGATTCTGGTTATTTTGGGGAGGTGGAGATAAATCATATTGTTTGGTGGATGCAGTTTGAACAGAGTAGCAGCATGGAGGTCGGATCGTCACCAAAATAAATAAATAAATGGCCCGAAAAAGGTTCATGACAAAAACAATACACATAGCTTTCCTCAGGCAGTGTGTTTGTACCGGGGACAGGAGACCCCCCCTTGATGAGAAACGGTAAGAAGTGAACGGGGAATCCCTCCGGAGTCATGACGACTGGATCTGAATTATTTGTTTGTATTTGGTGGTTTGTGTCCCAGCTGTCGATCAGCTGTGCACAGCGTCTCCACTGCAGCCTGTGCATCTCAAACCCCCCCCCGCAGCAACTCTATATCCACCAGTTAAAGGAAATACAACTAATGTGCTGTGTTATATTAGCTGTACAATTGACCACATATGGTGTTCTTAGCTTCCATACCTCCTGTGTTTTACGAGCGACTTATCAAGTCTTAGCAAACGGCATAAAACACGATTAAACGTGATAGTATATAAAACCATGCTCGTATCTACAACCTATAGAAATGCAACACGGCGTCAGTTTAGACGTAATTATGTCCTCCTGCTTACCGCATCATTTATGAGAAAACATTTCATAACATTAACACAACATATTCCAGGTGGTTTTAAATAACATATCCGTATTTATTTATTTCTCCAAGTTATGTTTGTGTGTGCACTGAGGAGTCGCAAACAGGCGTTTGTTTAATCATTTTAAGATTGGCTTTAATCAATGTTTGAAAATGAATTCTTCATATATGATAAATGAGAGGTAACGTTTTATTTATGGTATTATTTCCACATATTTCTCTCCATTCTTCCTTCTGCCAACGGTGTCGCAGTTTCTCGTCTCTCCCGTGTTTGTGCTTAGTGCGTACGCATGGGTTAGAGTTTGCGTGGAGGACCGCACATTTTCCCCTCAAGTTAGTATTTTATAAATCGCAAACTTTGCGTAGAAACTGGCGTACGCCATTTTTTGAGCGTATAGGCCTACCCCTTTATAAATGAAGCCGCTGGAGTCTGCCATCAGGTGAGTAAATACTGAGGGGCTAATTGGGAAATGTGAAACAGGTGGGCAGTGTGGGAGTCATGTGATTTTGAACATACAAGGAAGACTGCCGCCATCTGGTGGATGGAGGAAGAATTGCATGTTGGAAGTGTGGGGAAAAAGTAAAGTAATTTGGTGCAGCAGAAAAAGGTTCTTGAGAGGAATTGCACATGGGTTAAAAAAGTGTACAGTAAATGCATGCCAAACTAAAGTAGAAAGTCTCTATGGAATACACAATGTAAAATATAAACACATAATTCATTATAAAAAAACAAATCAAAACATAAATACAAACAAGAGACAAGTGTGCAAAGTAGTTGTTATTTGCAATGTGGTAAAATGTGAGTTTAATATGTGCAGATTGTGCAGGGCTATTCAAAAACCAAGATGTAACAGATACAAAAAAAACAATAACCCTGCAGGGTTTTTTTATCAAAAGATGAAATTAGTCAACATTACAACTTATATTTGAACATAGACATTGTGGAGGCTAAGCCAACGCTCTAAGCCTCTGAGGATCCGCTCTGTGGGTGCAATTGACGCACACCTTGTTTGCTGCCGAATAAAAGTCAGAAACAAAGTTTCCAGTTCGAAAAAGTCCATTTATTTCCCTTTTTACTGGTTTCTTTCCATCATTCACGATATTACGGTGTACAATACCTTTTCTGTTTGTTTGTAATCTCGTGTTTGTGTGTGTTCTCCGTGTGTGTGTGCTCCGTGTGTGTGTTCTCCGTGTGTGTTCTCCTTGTGTTCTCCGTGTGTGTGTTCTCCTTGTGTGTGTGCTCCGTGTGTGCTCCGTGTGTGCTCCGTGTGTTCTCCTTGTGTGTTCTCCTGTGGTAAAAAACTGTATGGGCCTTCCGGCGGAACCTCTCACCAACAAACATAGGTTCTTTATACCCGCAGTTAATTGGCTCCTACAGACATAAAAGCTTAAGAACATGGAAAGTGCAGTGGATATGTTGCAAAGGATGCGCCTCAAGCAGGAAATACATGGAATAATAACCTAAGAAAACAACAACTCTATCAAGGAAGTGTTTTAAACATAAATACTATACACTTTGATAGTTGGCACAATATTCAGGATTTTCTTTGAAATCTTTTTTGTTTAAAAAAAAGCAAAACCCTTCAGAGACATGTTTATCTGAGACCTATACGTTGTTTGAAAAGAGTATAATAGGATACCTTTTAGTAAAGAAGAAATACTGCAATATAAAAATACTCAAACTGTGTCCTGCACTCAAACGTGTACTTAAGTAAAAGTTAAATAGGAGTAGGATTCAAAATACTTAAGTACCAAAAGTAAAAGTACTAGTTATCCAACATGGCCATTTTGAGCACCAGATCTTTTTATGTTATGAAATATATTGAAACGATTGGTGCATTAATGTGTTCATCACTTGTTGTACTTGGTAAAGATGTTGGTGTATTTTAATGATTTGAAACACTACAGAGTAGCTTAACCTATAATAACATAACATGTCTGTTGATTTATATTTTGTATTAATTAATTCAATCTGCAAAGTAACTTCATCTGTTAAATTAATGTCGTGGAGTAAAAGTATAAAATAGCATAATGAGACAAATGTTACCATGCAAAACATGTCACGGTGTCTAACTTCAATACAAAGTGCAAAAAAACAGAATCAATATTTATCAGTACCGAAGCAACGTAACGGAGACCGAGAGGACACCTCCGATAGGAAAGATTACAGAAAACGATAAATATGAAATACAATTACAAATGAATAAACCTCACAGCTACAGCGTTATCCACAATAAATATGTAGGCTGAGGCTGAACAATTAAACAAAACTGCAAAATGGAACAAATCACAGGAGGTGCAACATTTGTTAAATGTGTGTCAGAATGCAGCAGAGATTCCAGCCTATAAATAACATTAGAAAGAATTTTGATTGGAACAGATTCTCTCAGAAATCACATTTTAGTTTATCTCTCAACGAAAGAAAGATAAGATGTACAGTATACCTGAAGTAAAGTGTCAGAGCGCTGCAGATCTAAAGAGTCAGTATTGTGCAGGAGTGTGAAAATGTCTATAGATGAGCATTAAAGTAACAGATAGTGTCAAACAGTTTCCATTGATCCACCTGCTGAACTGTTACCTGTCCCTGAGTCTGAACCTTCTTCACTGGCTGCTTGTCGTCTGAAGTTAAGAAGCACACAGCCACACAGAGCAAATAGAACAGAAACCAGTGCAATCTCAAAGTAGAGGCCAATCCTTCCCCGTCTTCCTGTGTTGGCAGTCTCAGGTTTGTGTCTTCCTGTGTTGGCAGTCTCAGGTTTGTGTCTTCCTGTGTTGGGAGTCTCAGGTTTGTGTCTTCCTGTGTTGGGAGTCTCAGGTTTGTGTCTTCCTGTGTTGGGAGTCTCAGGTTTGTTTCTTCCTGTGTTGGGAGTCTCAGGTTTGTTTCTTCCTGTGTTGGGAGTCTCAGGTTTGTGTCTTCCTGTGTTGGGAGTCTCAGGTTTGTTTCTTCCTGTGTTGGGAGTCTCAGGTTTGTTTCTTCCTGTGTTGGGAGTCTCAGGTTTGTTCCAATGTGTCGCTGCTGTAAAAACACCAAACAACTCTGTGTCAAAAACATTTCCCTGAAAAAGAAAACTAAAGATCTTCAACATTTCTCAGGTTCTCGTACACCCTGAGAGTTTAACATTATTAAAGATTAATGGGGGTTACTCACCAGTGACGTTGAGCCAGCATCTCCTAGAGTTACTCCCATCAGGTCTGACGAGTATGTCACACACATAAAACCCAGAGTCATTGGTCCTGAGTCTGGAGACATGAAGTGTGAGTCGTCCTTCTGTGAGGACGTCTTTGTCCCACTGGACTCGTCCTGAAAACTGTGGATCCTGAGACTCTGGGGATTCAACACCTTCTTTTAGATGAAATAGGACGTAAGATATGCCTTCAGCAAACATCTTACAGAGGGTAGAAATGGATCTGAGGGAAGTGTCTGTTCTGGTGCTGAAGGTCCACTCCAGGGTGATGTTCTGGTTCTCCTCTGCCTGATAGGAAGTCTGAGTCACATTCACTACAAATGTTCCTGTGGAGGAGACACAGAGGGACTCTTTAAACTGCAGCTTTGTTCCTGTGGAGGAGACACAGAGGGACTCTTTAAACTGCAGCTATGTTCCTGTGAAGGAGACACAGAGGGACTCTTTAAACTGCAGCTATGTTCCTGTGGAGGAGACACAGAGGGATTCTTTAAACTGCAGCTATGTTCCTGTGGAGGAGACCAAGAGGGACTCTTTAAACTGCAGCTATGTACCTGTGGAGGAGACACAGATGTGCTAGTTATTACGAAGATTACTTCAGGAAATTGTGTCTATACAACGTTTTCATTGTTACCAAGGTGGTTGCTAGGGACGCTGCTATCGATATTATTTCTGTTATGTTGTGTAACTGTTTAATGGTGTTATCTTTATTGCTACCCCCTTCCCCGTCAATGTATAGTGTTGGTCCACAGCGCAAACGTATTAGTTTAACAAAATCTGCATCTAAAATTGTGGCATAGATACGTTATTTTCCCCTGTGCAATTCTCCATTTACTCAACAATAACACATAATTATCCTTGATAATAAACACAAGTTGGAGTCCGTCAGGACCGAGGGTCGGAGCAGCTAATTTGCTTTACAGAATATTAAACCCGGAAGTAAGTATTCTATCCGCTTCGCTTGACAAACCCCGTGATAGTCCTCAAGCTCTGTGATTGGAGAGTGTGCCGAGCGTCGAACAGCACTTGAAATGGGATGGAACCACGGCAGACTGTCCAACACTGGATTTTAACAGGTCCACCCCGTCCCCCCCACCCCACCCCTTTCCCAGAACTACACATGCTGGCTATTGTGTTTCGCAACATGCTCTTTGGCACTCCTCTACTGGGAGTTGTAGTTTTAAAAGACGTTTTCGTATTTCCCATAATAAGAAGTGGCCAGTATTAAACTGTGTACATCCCTGGAGCTTTAGGGGATAGGAAACACTCACATTTAAAACATATAATTAATAAATGGGTGAAAATTGCTTGTGTCCATAATGGGCAGCATTACCCACATGCCAGCTAAGCTCAGAAGAGCTTTATTTAACAGCTGGTCTTATGTCTGTGACCCCTCCTGTTGTTTATTGATAAGCCTGAAACATGCACTTGTCAAGGTTCAGAGGCACATTTTGCAAATATGGCAGTAGCCATCGATCATCTTAAGATAAGATATACTTTATTGATCCCAAGTTGGAAACATTTGCGTTTCATCAGCATGTGTAACAGTTGTAAATATGCAGTGGTGTTTATTTGTAAATCATTTAGTATAATCACACAAATTCTGTGTTTTATATTTAATAATTATTAGTTCTTTATTTATTGATTGTTCAATACCTGACAAGAGATGAAAAACTTTGGTCGCAGGTTCCTCAACAGTGCATTACAAGACATCTATCAATATGTGTGTATACCTCCACCATTAAACTGTCATATTCTGCACATTTCTTATACTATCTACATACATTTATATAAGAGTATAATACATATGTATAATATCAGTTAAAATAAGTGCTTCAACATAGTTAGACACAGAGGGACTCTTTAAACTGCAGCTATGTTCCTGTGGAGGAGACACAGAGGGACTCTTTAAAGAGACCATCTGAAGCTTACCAGAGACAGAGGTCTCCTCAGGTGAGGAAGAGTTTTAGGGTATGAGGGGACATAAAGAAGAAAAGGACTATTTTACTTTTTTATTCAGCATGTTAAGAAAAAGCCAAAAATGTTGAGTAAAATATCAATCTTTCAATTTGAGGGCAGTTATTAGGAAACATGTATCAGAAAAAACAGTTAAGCTTTAAAAGTGTAATTATTGAGAATAAACATTGAACTTTTAAGAATAAACTACTTTTGTCAGAGAATATACTGAAAGCTCCACTTCTTGACATTTTGATTTAAAAAGCTAAATAAATCAGAATCCCCCTCCTCAGTGTTGACCCTCTTTTCTTGCTCTAATAGTGTTCCACACCAAAGAGCTCTAAGATGCTTCTTTAGGAAAAGGTACAACGAGACACAAAAGGTTTTTCAATAATATTCAATGTGTCTAAGTGGGAAATAAAGGAGTACACTAACCAGAGACACAGGGGGTGAGGAAGAGGAGCAGCAGGATGAGGAAGATCATCTTCTCCCTGTGAGAGGACACACACACACACACACACACACACACACACACACACAACACACACACACACACACACACACACACACACACACACACACACACACACACACACACACACACACACACACACACACACACACACACACACCCACACACACACACATCAGAAAACATAGTCTGTCTTTACCACATGACTATTATTATTGCACAGAGGACTGACACCAGGAACAGTAACACATGTCTGACACTAGGTGGCGCCAGATATCAGAGAACACAGACTGAAATACAGGACCAACTAGGGCTGTGCAATTAATCGTATTTTAATCGCGATTACGATTATGGTTTGCGACGATTAGGAAAACAGCATAATTGACAAAATACGATTATTTTGCTAGGTGCGCTTTCGCCCCTCCCTAAAAGCCCACTCGGCCACGTGGGAGTGACATGTGTTGTGAGTGTTCAGCGCAAGCGAAGATCTCAGAACAAGAGCAGCAACTAGTTAAAAAGAAGGGTCGCGGGGAGATTCCCAGTCGATCGCGAGATGTGTCTAAAAATAGAACAACAATATTCTGTTTTATCGTTAATGTCCTGTAACATAATGTTCCCGTGCCAGAATAATGCACTTGAACGCATCAAAGCTTTGTGATTGGCCGGCCTCACCCCATGTGTCGGGGCGTGGCTGGTGAGCAGTGCACTAGTTCGCTGACGTTGTCCGTGTCAACAGCATGGATGGTCAACAGGAGTGACAGTCCACACACACACAAGACCGCAATTATGGCAGAAGCAAAAAAGCCCAAAATATATAATTTTCACTCCAAGTGGGAGGATCATTATTTTTGTATCTATTCCTATTCAAAGTCCATCTGTCTCTCATCTGCAATGCGAGCGTGGCTTTATCGAAGAAGGGTAATTTAGGAGCGGGATTTCAAAACAGTGCACAAACGCTACGAGACGGAATTCCCTCCTAATTCTGCCCTACGCTCCAAAAGGGGAGGGGCCTGAGAGCACAGCTAAATGCACAGCAGTCCATTTCCACCAGGCCCAACAACAAGAGCAAGGCTGCTACCAGAGCATCTTATCGTGTCAGTCACGTTCTAGCGAAACACATGAAGTCTTTCAAAGACGGCGAAGTTATGAAAGAAGCTTTCCTGGAGGCTGCGACGTGCTTTTGTGGGACAGTAAAAATAACAGCAGCATTTCAACAGGTTTTTGATATAATAAAAACTCAATTTAGATACTGTTATTAATCTGCTGTAAGTTTTAGTTTGTTTGAATTTATTCATGATAATTATTGTACAAAATGGTATAAGAATGCAAACATTAAGATCTGTTCTGTTTAAATTGATTATAGTCTATCAGTTCAGAAACTAGTGTTGCTTGCATCCTATTTTAAAGGCATTTCTTTTTATACTCTAATAAAATGCAACAAAAAATGGGTTTGATTCTATTAATGTTGTCTTTTTTATTGCACTGTTGCTGCAGCAGATTACTGTGTAGCTTCAGATCTGAGTTGTCTTATTAGTAAGCCTAATTTATACTTTTGTAGCAACACTATTTTTATATAATGGCAAAGAAAGGGTTCTTCAGTCTTTTCTTTTTTTCCTGTGTCATATGTGGCAGCACTGCCACAAGTTCCTCTTCAGAGAGGGTCTTCAGTACAGGTGGCAATATCGTCACCTGCCTGCGCTCATCTCTGAAACCAGACCATGTCAACAGGCTGGTATTTATTGCAATACATCTTTAAGAGATGACATGAGCAGACCTACCAGCATTTGCCATGGTGGCCTAAACATTTTTATTTGGTCTTAAATTGTAGTTCAACATTTATTTCCTGTTACTTCTGGACCATGACGGTTGGCCAGCCTTCAACGTTTAACTGAGTGGAATATGTTGAATATGTTTTACCAAAATGTTGGCTATATGTTAAGGAGTTTTCAGTAGGTTGTGACAGTGCACTGCAACATATTTGATTTCATTTTATTTATTTTTATTTATTTTTATTTATCATATTAATATATGTTTAGTATGGTTTTGGAAGTGCGATCCAACACATTTATTGATCTTGTTTATTGGTAAAATATTATTTGTTTTAAAGTTCAATAAATGGTCAATGAATAATCGTCAAAAATAATCGTGATATCAATTATTGACCAAATAATCGTGATTATGATTTTTGCCATAATCGCACAGCCCTACGTCAGCGGCTTCATTTGGTGGCGCCAGATATCAGAGAACACAGACTGAAATACAGGACCAACTGAACCCCTTCATTTTTGTTTCAGAATCTCAAGTCAAAGGGACAGCTTTTGCATTCATGCAGATTTCAAGAATATTGTTTTTAATATTGCTGTGTCTAAACGTGTTTTCTGAAGATAAAATCCAGCTTGAATAAAGCGGTTGAAACTCTGACCCTGTTCCAATACAAACTCTGCCTCTATCAACAGTCAACCTTGTGCTCTCTGATCACGCAAAGTGGAGGGAAATGCAAATAGCCTACTGTGAGAAAGCCTCTCCATTCTCCAATCTGTCGACCGTGGATTCGTTACATCATTTCTCGGGAGAGAAACATTATAGTATAAGTGGCATGTCTTTTTTTTTATAAACCTCTTCTCATATTTTTAAATCTGAATTAAAAAAGCTATTTGTGCTCATGATATAAAAATAAGAGGCGATGTTTGCTTACCCTGCAGCGAGACAAAACACACGTTGGTTCCTGCTTTTATATCAAGAGCAGATGGTTCTACAATAAAACAGTTTTTAGATACACTGGTAAATACAATTAAAATAATATGTAACCTTTAAGTTTCTTACATTTGTATGAATATTTGTAATGCCCATATTATTCTTCAAACTGTAAACTGTTTAATAGACAATTAAAACAGTCATATGAGAATACCCTGAAAATGAAGTAGTATTTTGATGTGCATTCCTTATGATCACATATACCGGTGTCTGCGACGTGTTTATTCGTTGTGTGCACTTTGTTCACAGAAACTGCAGCAAAGCAGTCTTTTGGGGAAGCTGGTCAAATGTCACAACGTTAGGACAGTTCCTGTTTCTTGCAGAGATAGAGAAAAACGTGTCCATGCTTTTATCTTCAGTAGACTCGACTACTGCAATAGTGTCTTCACAGAGCTCACTAACAAATCTATCAGAAAGCTGCAGCTGATTCAGAACGCTGCTGCTCGAGTGCTCACTGACACTAGAAAAGTGGATCACATCAGTCCGGTTCATTACACCGGCTTCCAGTCTGCCAAAGAACTGATTTTAAAATACTACTGCTAGTTTTTAAATCACTAAATGGCTTAGGACCGAGGTATATAGACGACCTCCTCCATCAAAGCATCCAGGAGTCTCAGGTCTGCTCTCTGTTCCGAGAATAACCACTAAACATGGAAAAGCAGCTTTTAGTTATTATGCCCCAACAATCTGGAACAAACTGCCCAAATCGTGCACGTCCGCCGAAACACTTCCTATTTTTAATACCGACTAAAAACGTCTATTTGCCGCTGCTTTTAACTGAGCTGCCCATACTCGCACTACAGTATGCCCTTTCAGTCATGTACTCTGTACCTGCTGTGTTTATTTATTTATTTTATTACCTTTGCTTATTATGCCTGCTTTTAAATGCCTTTTTAATAATGTATTTATGCTGTATTTGTTCTTAAATGTATTTTGCTTTTAATCTGTAAAGCACTTTGAATCGCCACGTGCTGAAAAGTGCTATATAAACAAAATGGCCTTGCCTAAAAGAGGTTCATCTCATCAGGAGAGCGACAGAAAGCAGCAGTAAGATATATTTCTTTAAAAAAGTAGAAGCATGTGTTCTTACCTTTACATAGTTGAGACTGCAGAGACCTCAGTGCGGACAGTTCTGTGTTCTGGTTTTCATGTCTGAATATGTCCGATTACAACAGGAGTAGTTCACAGGGCTCTGGTTCACAGCTAGAGACAGAGGGGGCGTTTCCACTGGGATCAACGGCGAGTACGTGTATCTTCGGATCATTTGGTTTTCTTTATTAACCCTGGTCTGTGGGACCCGTTTTCATTATTTAGCTAAAGATATAATAATAATTTGTTCAAACCCACACTCAATGGCCTTGGCTCATTTTCTGTGAAGAACATATATCAGAACGCCTTGTTTTCAATGACCACCCACTGTACACCCCCCCCCCCCCCCCCCCCAACAAGGTGTTCGGGTCTAACTAAAGTGTGAAAATTGTAGGTCCTGTGCACCTGTCTGGGCCTTCTCTCTCTGTGTGTGTGTGTGTGTGTGTGTGTGTGTGTGTGTGTGTGTGTGTGTGTGTGTGTGTGTGTGTGTGTGTGTGTGTGTGTGTGTGTGTGTGTGTGTGTGTGTGTGTGTGTGTGTGTGTGTGTGTGTGTGTGTGTGTGTTTCTGCCCCTGCCATTCCCGCACAAGGTTGCAACATCGTTGATAAATACAAGCACGGAGACACCTGTCTGCTCTCACATTCCCGCATTATTTTTTTGCGGGAACCAATCTTTATTTTTTTCAAACTCTATCCAGCTGCACATTTGGGGCAAGACACAATAAATAAAGCTTTGCCAGTTTGGGTCCTTATCCAGTGCTTGAATTGGAATGAAAAAGGTGCCAGTACTCTAAAATCAGCAACTTTTTCAAGTCAATTTTATATATACAGCCCACAAACAAGAATTTGGCTACTATAATGCTGGTGGGTTTGTCTCTTTACTACTGTATATTTTAGAAAGGTTCACTGTACTTAACATTTTTTATGATAGGCAGCGGATATGGCTAAAGCTCAGTAAGGTCAATATTAACTGAAAATATAGCAATCAAAGTCTAGATCTTCTGCTGAAGACACATGAAGCAGAGACCTTTCAGGTGAGAGCCCCTCTGGTGGTGTTCAACATTAATGACAAGGAAACAAAGCTCTGGTCAGAAGCATTTTTTATAAAAAGCTTTAACAAAATTAAGTATTTCTGTACATTTTGAATGCAATCTAACTTTCCAACTCAGAAAACGAAA